AAGAACGTGGAGTTTTTTCAGGCGAGGATTGAAGGAGAGAAATATTGAATGAATTAGGAACATTTCCCAGTGTGTTTTTATAAAGACCGGTGAAGGTGTTTCTATGCGCTTCTTTAATTTTCTGAGTCTACGTTTAAGTCTCCGATCATATTCACGTTTAAAAAAGGATTGGTGCTAAAAGATCATAATGATGCATGTTGGCTCATGAAAATTGTACGTATCAAGGCGTTGACGTGATGATCTTCCGAAGAATTCTCAGCTTCCTCTTACAATGGAGAAATATATCGTTTTCCTTGGGTGTTGCACATTGTCATACGAGATTGAAGGCACCTCAACGTATCATGATTGATGGCATCTTCCAGAAGCAGTTTCTTCCTTCCCCAAGTGACGACGACAAAAAGAGAGCGGTAGTCGAAAAACTCACAAAGTCCTAGTATCTGCATTCAACAACGTTTAGCATGGTTTTTGAACTTCATCGCAGGGAAAAGTGACTTGATTCAATCTGAAATATGCTCAAATTTACCGCCGAAAAGATTTACTTATGAATCAATAAAGAAAATAATGCTTAGTTAAAGAAGAAAAGATGTTATATAAAAAGAAAAGTCACTCCCACCAAGCAGAAACCTGCTTTCATTCAGCTATTTTATATTTGATTCAAAATGAAATCTTCTTGACGGCATACTCAAGAATGTTTCTGCCGGATCACTTTTTTCTCTAATGAAATTAAAAATTATGCTGAATGTTATTAAATACGGATGCTAGGACTTAGTGAGTTATCGGACTAGTCCTACTACTACTACTCCTAATAAATGCCTGCCATTCTCAAATTGTTGGAACGCCTTCCATTTCGTATGATACTGTGCAACACTTCTGTCGCGAAATAGTTGCTTGAAGCGCCGTGACACTTCGCTGCGTGCGCTGGCGCCTACAAACCTAACAGAGATACTACACGCATTGCGCGATGCGTGAAGTATCCCTGTTAGGTTTGTAGGCGCCAGAACGCGTTCTGCGCTGGCAGCACGCCGCTCCGCTGTTGTAGGCTCTAATATTTAAACTCGCGAAGTCAGCGTTTTTCAACTCATGATTTTGAAATGTTTGCACACTCTCCGTGGGTTGTTCTCATTTAAATTGATGAAACAAATTTGAATTAAAGGGCAATAAAATGTGTGTTTTGTAATATTGAGGTGGTTTCGTGACAAATTTAATGATTTCCAAAGCACTTTAATTTTTTATTTTATATTTTGTGCTTTTACTGTGCTGCAGCGTAGTGCATGCGCAACCAAACGCTCCAAATTGGACGTATTTGACTGTAAAAGATCGATGCACAGAATGCGAGAATGGGTTTAAAACCAATGATTGCGTGCTTCTTGGTTTTATCTCTCTTATTCATTTTTGTATAGTTTCTTCCAACATAATTACGGCTCATTGAGATTAAAATCGATATCATCACTTGAAACGGTTTTACAAATATTTTCCTCGTTTTAAAGATGCGAATGTTTTTAAAATTGAAAAAAATGTAAATATAAGGTATATGTTACATCGAATAATTCAAGGATAAAAATAAAACCAAATATTCACCAATGACAGTTTGAAAAGATGAATCAAAATAAGAAAGTAACATTTCATTTAAAAAATGAGTTACCATTACAACACCTCTTTCTCTCTCAATTTTCTTATTTCGATATTGTCAATACAATTTTACTTTCGGACTAAAATATAATGTTTGGACCAAGTCACTGTTGCTGAATTTAAGCGAGGGCGTATACCACTGGACAAAATAGGTAAGCGGACAAAAAATCGTTGACGGAATGTCCTGAAACCAAATGGCCCCGTTAGAAAAACGGGATTATGTATTTAATTTGGCAGGTCCAGTTCCCCCCACCACTATTTTTTTTTAGGTTGGTAATGTTCTTAACTTTCCTAGAATTCACGCGGGGTACCAAAATGAGCATTCCTAAATTTACTATGAATTGAATAATTATTGTAATCTTCTGTCACATTTTTACGGCGCAATGATACAAATATTTGAACTCTCCGGAATGCGTGAGGTATCACGGCGCATTTGAAGGCGTTTTCAAAACAGCCAAGCTCCGATACCCGGATTAACGTTTTGCATAGTTCATATTCTTTGATTATATTCCGTATCACTTGTTTATTTTTTATCCTCGTATAAAAACTACTCATTTGCTGAATACAATTCTAGCTGGAGCGCACTTCAGCTATGCATTCACCACTTCAAAAATGTGAAAGGAAATCGACAAGCCCAGTGTGCATGAAAGCTATTTCCATTTTAATTTTCCGTCGCATTCCTAAGGCCCAATGATACAACTATTTGAACTCTCCGGAATACGTGAGGTATAACGCCGCTTTTGAAGGCGTTTTCAAGACAGCCAAGTTCCGATACCCTGATTATCGTGTTGAATAGTTCATATTCTTTTGTTTTGTTCCGTACCACTTGTTTATTTCTAATCCTCGTATAAAAACTACCCATTTGCTAAATACAATTCTAGCTGGAGCGCATTTCAGCTAAGCATTCACCACTGCAAAAATGTGAAAGGAAATCGACAAGCCCAGCGTGCTTGAAGGCTTTTTCCATTTTAATTTTCCGTCGCATTCCTAAGGCGCAATGATACAACTATTTGAACTCTCCGGAATGCGAGAGGTATCACGCCGCATTTTAAGGCGTTTTCAAAGAAGCCAGTTTTGATATCAGGTTCGTAGTTTCGCAAGAAATTGGAGCACAAAATCAATAGAATGACTGATTTTACGAGCTAATGCAACTCAATAAATTTGTGTTTAATTTGACTGAAGAGTTAGAAAACAGTTCGGTCAGAAATTTAAATCAACCTACGGTCCATTATATTATTCTTTTGTTTTGTTCCGTACCTCTTGTTTATTTTTAATCCTCGGATAAAAACCACCCATTTGCTAAATACAATTCTAGGTGGAGCGCACTTCAGCTATGCATTCACCACTGCAAAAATGTCAAAGGAAATCGACAAGCCTAGCGTGTATGGAGGCTATTTTAATTGAGGACACCGCACCAAGAACAGCCTATATAGTCCAGGCGCCTGGTAGCTAAAAATTAGGCTACCTGGAATTTTGGGTACGCAGCGATTTTTTGGGCTTACTTTATGTTTTTTGGGTCGCTGAATCCGAATCTGAAGTTTCCTACCGCGTATCTGGTGAGCGTTTTCCGCCATTTTGAAAAAATTGCCTAAAAAGCCCTTTTTTCCGTTTTTTTTTATATAGCGGCTACGCATGAGAAAAATTCCCAGATTTAGTTAATGTTTTGAATAGCTGACAAAATTTGGAAGAAAATGGTGTGTACATATGCTAGGTTTGCTTAAAAATTGAGGAAGATACAGCATCGTGAACATCGCGCCTATTCACATTTTCGCGGCGCACCCGTCAACGCGCGATCCGGCTCGCCGCGGTCAGCCAAGTTCCGAAGCGTTCCAAAGTTCCGAGATCCGAGGCTCCTCAATTTTTGAGCAAACCGAGCATATTCATATACCATTTTCTTCCAAATTTTGTCAGCTATTCAAAACATTCACAGAATCCGGGACCTAATCTCATGCGTAGCCGCTATAAAAAAAAAACCCGCAAAAATAGGCCTTCTTAGGCCATTTTTTCAAAATGGCAGAAAATGCTCACAAGATATGCGGTAGGAAACTTCAGATTCGGATTCAGCGACCCAAAAAACATAAAGTGAGCCAAAAAAATCGCTGTGTACCCAAAATTCCAGGTAAACTTACCAGGCGCCTGGACTAATAACTGGAAACCTCGTTTTGAGAAAAACGCATTTAAAGTTTTGTTTTTGATGTACTGCGCAGACTTTTCTATGCAGGTACCCTGTTTTGGTGTTTTTGGGTGACCTACCCTTCTATTGAAGGATGCCGGGTAGATTTTGCGATACATTTTGGGTTTATTCTCTCATATATTTAATTTAAAAACGCTGTTTATAGGCCATTATTACGCCCAACAGCCATTTTGGTGGCAATATGAAGTATAAATCATTTTAATCACGCATGAGTAACGCAAAATGAAAGAATATCGATAGTGAGTAAAGGAAGGGGTAACTAGCACCTTATAGGCCCGTTTATAGGTCGTTCTTGCACACATCGATCCAGAGGCCTGACTTGACTCGGAAAAAAAAGGTTTTTCGACCTCGAGCCGTTACCTATCTATATTCTATTGCTACCACAGCATAGTCCAGGGTACGTAGAATCCGAAAAGCAGATGGGCGTAATAACGACCTATACGCCTATAGTCATATAATTCTTGGTGCGGTGTCCTCAATTGCTATTGCCATGCGGCAACGCGATGCAGTGAAGGGTTATGTCATAGGATTTTTCATAAAAAAACCTAATTTTATTAGTCATCGTAGACTTTTACCACTTTTAAACCAGTTGTCTCCTTATACTCCGCTTAAGAACACGCCACGAAGGGCTTGAATGATGCAACTATTCGGGCGTCATGGAATAGAATTGCATGCTCCACTAAATGAAGGCGTTATGGAGACCACACATCTTTCCGTCTCTTTTTGAAAGTGGTCATACCCGCCTCTACTTGCTGACTGGAATACAAAATTTAAAATCATGGATCGGAAAGTCAATGACCTTTGAATACGAACGTGTTGCTGCTGTACATTCACCTTTATTTCCATTCTACTTGTGACCTGCCAACAGGAATGCAGCGTCCAAATTCAGAATGCTTGAACACAGGACCTTTAAGTTTTGAAGCATAAAAAAGTATTTAAAAAAATTAAAATTTGAAATATATGGATAAAAAATGGTCAAAATTCGGGGTCACGCAGGACATAGGTCAAAATCTTGAGTAATTAGGATGTCTTACGAGCAATTTTGAGCTTTCCTCGCCGAAAAATTGACCCATTAACAAAAAGTTTCGTAGATGAGAGATTTCTCGCTCTTATTTAGCAGTATTCCCCCCCCCCCCCCCCCCNAAGTCGCCACTGAACAGAAGTATCATGTGGTTCCCAGTCCCAGTATAGCATAGGCACAGGTTTCATAAGAGATGTCTCTTCAGTATTGCGTATTTGAAGCTAGCACTGCGACTGGTGGTGATATCTGTCGGATGCTCGTTAAAACGCAGGCTGCAAGCTCAGGAGTTCATGTAGTGGCCGACAGAGCACAGCGTTGAGCTCATCGGATCCGCGCCAAAATTCAAAATACCGCTCAGCTCCTCGCAACTTACGACAGAGCACAGGAGAGAATTTCATGATCCTCCCTGCGCCGTCCGCAGTGTGCATGGCGAACGACCCGCCTTTTATTATTATATCTCATCTAGCGTAGAGAGTTCGCAAAGAACGACATACGACCAGTGTGTAATTTTAAAAGTCGAAAATAAAAATTAGAAAAAAAATTAAAAAAAAAATTACACGATACACGAGTTTCTCCGCCAGGGAGCTCTCCCAGCAATAAATATGTCACCACCCACCCGCCGGGAGAGCCGCGACGTGCTGCCTACACGCATTGCGCAGTGCTTGAAGTATCCCCTTAGGTTTGTAGGCGTCAGTGCGCGTTTCGAGCTGGCAGCACGCCGCGCCGCAGCGTGTCATAATCTTGCCCACAATTTATAGGTCAGGGCGTTAAAATGTAGGCAATTTGACATCACATTCGAAATTAGAGACTTAAAAAACATCTGTTACGAAACTTTCGTGTTCTTTCAGTCACTATCTGACTTATTTCTTCCTATTCAATTTTGGACCATAGTGGTCGCGGGAGGGTGGCGGCTCATGAAATTCTCTCCTGTGCTCAACCGTCGCAACTTACGACTATTTTTCTTTGGTCGGACTTCGCGATTTTAAAATTTTCAAGGAAACACTCGGATCCGTAAAAACATTTTGCCTAACAAGAAAACTGCACAAGAAAAGTTTGGAAGAAATTTGGGAGAGCTAATTCGCATGATTTTTCAAAGTACCACTCTCGCTACTCACAACTTGCGCTTAGTAGATGCCATTGTATGATTTTTGAATGCTCTCTCAATATGACGACTTTTCACCATAACCACGCACACCCTTGTTCGTGTCCTCCATCAATGTTCTTGGCTTTACAATTTTTAGTTCTTTTAAGTCAAACTGGTTTTTGGAGGAAATCCAAAGAATATTATTTAAAAAGTAATACAATTTAGATGGGATTTTAAAGCAGTTATTTGTTACTGTAATCTAAAACTATTCAAAAATTACAAATTAAATGGGCGTTTTACGGTCATTGTAAAAAAAATCAACGAATTGTAATTGTCTTTGTGTCACATAATTTAATTATTATGTTTCTTATCGAAGATGAGGGGAGGGAGAAAATTAAGAATTAAAGGAGAATTTTGTTATCACAGTATTTTAAAACAACAATAAATATAAAATAGTCATTCGACTTCAGTAAAAAATGTCGGATCTTATGCCTTCAACATATTATCCACTTTTTATATCACAATAAAATTATATTAGTTGAATCTTCAATTAGTCTTCTTTTTGACACCTTCTTTTTTCGTCTTTTTGGTGCCACACAGTAGTCGATACAGTTTACAAATTAATTTATAAACAAGGAAAACTGCCAGGAGTAAGACAACAATGATGTCCAATAGTGCATACTGGTAGAGGGGTAAATTGGCAGAGACTGGTTTTAAGTGGTGGGCCCCTTTGTGTCGCACAACATACTCCACCCAAAAAACAGCGGTGTCCAGTGGACTCATCGGTCGATCCTGTGTCCTTCTAGAAATTTCCTTCGCATTTTCTCTGTAACTAAATAGAAGAACAACGTTTAAAAGAATTGATCTCTTGTCATAACATATAAAGAAATTAAGGAATATGATAGGGGTGAAGATGATTGCTTTTTAGATTTTCGATCAATATCAACTACATCATAGTGAAAAATACGAATCGAAATTGACCTGTCCTTGTCAGATTGTGCATTTACGAGGAGGCGCTATTGCCTGCGGATTCATTGCTTTTTTGCTTCTTTTTTTAAATTAGTTGTAGTGAGCTTCCTTATACATAGGAAATATAGTAGTAGTAGTAAAATAATTTTATTTTAAAGCGGTGCTTTAGCATCTAAGGCCATTTACACCTCTAAAGAGGGCAGTAACAGTAATAAATTTACATGGAAATATCACTAAAAATACAAAGGGTTGAAAGGAAATGTTAAATTTTGAGATTAGTGGAGCGCATAAATTCAAAAAGTTTCACAGGATGAGTATTCAGAAGTAAATTTTTAAGAGAGGGTAAGGGGTAGGGAAAAAACGTTTTCGATACATTTATTAATGAATATAAGTAAGTATATGAATATACAAGCAACCAAGTAACTTATAATTTTTTTTGCATCTACCTTTCAGTTTTTTGTTTTACATCCTTAGCGCAACTAAGCAAGAGAGGTTTAGTTTTCTTTTAACAAATAAAAAATAATCGGAGATTTTGATACACCGCAATGGAGATACGTATTGTTTCAGCCTCTCCGTCGATGTAATACTGGTCTAAAAATAGCATTCGCTGATGCTCAAAAGTCCAAACTTTAAAAACGCCGGAAATGAAATAGCTTATAGGTGATAATTGCCCTTTTTCTTTGGCAACCGCCTATGTCTTTTCAATATTGAGTACGTACTACTCAACAGTAATAATTTTTTTTTGTTTTTGCGTGCGCGACGAGCGTCGATGGAAAATACTCAAGTTAAGCCCTAATTCCGTTCCACTCAAATGATATAAGATAAGCAGCTGTATTTAAAAATCTTATCAAACTATGCGCATCTGGATAGTTGTTGCCATAAAATTGAAACTTCGCCGCGAATTCATAGCTCAATTTCTTCTATTTAGAGAGCAAAAAATATGAGTTGATTTCTTTCTTTAGAGTTAAATCTTTTTTGTGGATTTTATGAACTTTCATATTGTAAATGTAAATGCAAACTTGTCTATAAACATGATGATAATCTACACTTTAAATCGAGCACGTCACGTAACAGTGGGTAAGATTTTTAGAGTGACGAGGTGAAATATTTCCCTCTGAATGATTTGTGCAGAGTTTCTTCATGCGCAAAACGATGTTGGAAGATGTCTGATTTGAGGAGACCCTCTACTCAATTTGGCAGGAAAAGTTCGGTTAGTATTATTACAGGTCATTAATATGGGAAATGAAACCAGTGTGGCATGAAACGTAAGAAAGAAATGAGAGATTGGAAATTTCAGTGAAATATTTCATAAAAATTCACAGGACTGTGAAATATATCATATTTTTTAGGAGCTAGAGTATGCAACTCGCACTCAAAAACACAAAAGTAGAAGAAAGCCACAATTTTTACCTTTAGTGAACATGAAAAGGAATCGGTGTTTTTCAATAGCTTTCACACAAATTTCTAACATTTCATGAGATATTTCACGTGTTTCAAGATTTTATTTTTCATGAAATTTCGCCATCCTGAATGGAACACAAAGTAAAAACTTACGAGGGCGTGGTGATGATATGCATGATGGAGTCATAAAACTGATCGGCTGTGAAGCCAAGGTCCAGTCCTTTGCCTATACCTCGGGTCTCGTAGAATCGAATGTTTCTCGGCTGATCTCCGAACACAGGAAGACCCAGTACCGGGACGCCCGCTCGGGTTGCCTCGATCAAGCTGTTGTAGCCACCATGGGTTATGAAAACGAGCAACTTGGGATGAGCTGGAGAGGGACATATTATTTAAAATTAGAAAAGGCTCCAGGATAGCCATAAAATTAAGCAGTCATTCACTAGTTTATCGCAGTACCTATTCTATCAGTTGAAAACGCTCACATTTATGTACTTCGACGATGAAACTGCAAATACACGTATCTCGTTTGCGATTATTCAAAATCCTCGTCCCTTTTTTACTGAATCGGAGGGGGAAGACCATCACTTTTGCTTGAAATTGCAATATCGTGGTAGAATATTGCAATAGACTATTGCAAACAGAAAAAAAGAAACAGGGTGGTTTTCAAGAAACAACGTTGAGGATGTTTTTCAATCATAAATTAAATTATGACAGGGAGACTGCCCTATCGCAAACCGAGATACAATTTGCATTTTGCGTTTTTACAGTTTCACCTTCAGTTTATATGCGCATCAATTCCATACTCTCCTTAAAATTTTACGATGAAAACAATGCGTTCAGTTAATAATAATTTGTGAAGTTCTGGAATGTATTTTTGACGATGGATGCATTACTATATTAAAATAGAACCGAAAAACAGGGGGAAATATGTGATAGTATCCTATAGCATCCCAGTGGCATTATATGTTAAGATAAATGACGGTGTCTTGATCATTTTATGGAATTTTTCAAAACTTCAATACCTTACTTATACTAATTAAAAGAACCTAATTTACAAAAGCATTTACCTAATATTTCCTGTTGCGGTGCCCAAGATAGGATGTGCAAATTTTTGGCGCCCTCAAAATACTTTGCAGCCGCAGCTCCTACTTTAACAATGACCCGCTGTTTAAGCCTTTTCAGGGCGTCAGCAATAGCTAAAAGTCTGCCCTCTCCAATGTCCTCCTCCTTCAGAACCGAACCCAAACTGAAGTAGACGACTCCATTTTCGGCTGCATCCATAAATCCCTGTAAATCCTGGAAGTTCGCATTAAGATATGCACGGTTGTTAAATCAGTTATGGTGATCTAATTACAATGATTATATATCAGACGATCTTGCAAAATTAGTCATGAATATTGCATGTCTCAAAAGTTTTTTTTTATTTTTTTACGTTTTATGGGAGACAACGTTTCGTTACTTTTTAGGAGTGTACATATCTTAATTGAGGCTTTTCTCGGTAAAAGGGCGTATGAGACTTTCAATGCTGCTATGATAATACACCGTAGTTCTGTGTAGTAGTAAGTGACTTAGCCCACAGTTCTGCTATGAATGTTTCCAGCTGAATTTAAATTCTAAATCCTAAATTCGCTGAAAAATCAGAAGGAAAATATGTACAATATTCCCCCGAAAATTTGAGATCTGCCAAAGGAAATTTGGCAACGCCTGCAGGCTCATACGGCGTTCTTTCTTAGCAGGAAGCATTCTTGCCTTATCTCTGTGAATAAAACCACCTCTTTATCAGCAGTATTACTCAGCATTTAAGTATCCAGCTCATAGAGAAATGCTGAACCGATTGTAAAAATGTGTGTTCAATAATATACAAAATACAAAAATCGCGGGTAACAGGCAAGGCTACAACACAACTAAAAGAACCGCATCCGTCCCTAGTTGAATACCAATTGAAATGAAATTTAAAATCTCTAAAATAAACAAAGTACCCGGTCGCACCTTTTAAAACAAGAGAAAATGTAAATATTATTGGATGAAAAATTATATTTTGTATATTTTTTAAATTTTTTTATCACTAGTTGCTGCGGAAAGGCATACTTCAAAAATATATACGAATTCAAGGTTCGTAAATTTTACATCGAAATAGGTGCTTTCGTTGAATTATTCTGTACAGTATAATCAAGGTAATATGCATTATCCCTTATGCATCTCTGTAGCATGTACCTTCTGTTGCATAATAAGATATGCAATTGTTCCTATCCGCTACTAAAAAAAGAAGAGGAGGAAAAATGTCTACCTCTTTTTGAATTTGAATGTTAACTGCTTGTGAACTTTAGTTCAAATTTTCTTCGCACTTCTTTTTGCGGTCTATTAACATACAATTTTTCGTGCATATTTTCTTCGATGAAAAACGGAACTAACCTTAGGTAATTTTTGAACCGGTTTCAAATGCATCCCTGCGATCTCGATCATGTTCGGAGAGAATGGTCGTGAGTAACCAATAGAAAAGTGAGAGTTGACTAGTGACAAGGAGATATTCTTGATCAGTTCCGACACGGAGGGTATTTTTTCCACTCCCGGATACTTGAAGTGCTTTTTGATAATGGCATCTTGAGCAGGGGCGAAATACCAGTTGAACCACGCCAAATCCCATAAACCATTTACTGTGTTTTCCAGTCTCTCGAGGAAACTCATACTATCACTCAGTGTTAGTAAGGTGTCCGGAATGTAAGAGAAGGAAAATGGATTACCTGAAACACATACACAAATCTCATTGAAGAATAATATATGTTCCTCTATAGACTGGTTTATAGTGACTACGTCATTCGACTAGATGGATGTATTCGTTACTCGTTGGTTTAATTATGGACGAAAATATAATCTCAATCTCAAAAAATGCAACCATATGATTGGCTGTTTTAATTACCGCGCTTTCAAATCGCAGCAAAACTTATCAAAATTTAATATGGGCCGATTGGATTTCGATTATTCAAATGCAATTTATCGGAAGATGTAGCCACTAAATCAATCTTTTAGAAGTTGCTTCCCTAGCGAAACTATGATTTGATAGAAACATTTGAAAATTGCAAAGTGAGTCTCATGTGCCTTGGATGTTTTCGTTATTTTATTGGTTTATTTATTTATCTTTTTTCATAGGGAAAATTCAGGAGAGAGATGCTTGATCCCTTACGAAGTGTAGACTCCCTGATGAATAAAATACTCCTATTCTTTGCCTGTCCCCATGTCTTTGTACACAAAAAAGTACACCTAGCGTGCTGTACGTTATTTTCCCCCATGTTCAACTCTGTTTTATAGGTTACTGGAAGAGTGTACTAATTACAGACCAAAAAGCCTCTCTTTCGAGCACTCTCTAGCACTATGCGCCACCTCATCATCACAGTCTCCCTTCCTGCCAAAGTCCTTTGGAAAGCTGACACTCCCTCAACCTTTGTAAAACCACTTATTGTCTCCCTTTAACTGGATGTCCGTTTTGTCTCATCTCAGGAAGCACTTCTATTTGCAGCTCCTCTCCCTTCATCCTCTTGATAATACACCACTAAAAAACTATATAATCGTGATGTTAAAATTATCTCCGGAAGCACGAGATCTTATATGAATATCACGACAATGTTGTGTGATGGCGATGCGGTCCGTTGCAGGACCCATACTTGGCAATTCGCTTACTCGGACCCGTCCAGGTGAAGAGACAAGAACGGACCGTGTCACAGACGTAAAATACAAAAGTTCCTCCGTTCATACAAAAATTTTGAGCTTCAATACGTGGTTTTATTGGTTTCCTTGTGAAATTTTCTTTTAAAGGCACCCCTAAAAATGTAAAATCCGGCGAAATAAACATTAAAATTCGCAGTTTTCGTCACAAATTTCATGTTTGACCTTTTTGCTTGACTCGATCCACTGCGCGCCGGGATGAGCATTAAGCATCTCGATGATTTTTTAGATTTTTACTAAGAAACTAGACTAGTAGTTTGATCATGACGTCGAATATGGTGTAATTTTCTACTTCCATCATGATCTGACGCACCTTCCGTACTCGTATACATAACTGAATTGATGAGTATGTTGTAATATTTATTGCCAAAAAAGTAAAATTTTATAACAAACCCATGAAACTAGACACGTGTGTAAAAGGGCTTGTAGGAGAGAGGTCAACGAAGGGTGCTTGGAACCTATGAGCGAAAGCGAGGAGAGAAGGCTGGAAGAAGCTGACCTCCCCAGCAATGATGTCAAACTCTTCTTTAGAGGCTATGAGTTCCTGCATTTCCTTTGCCGAGACGCTCAACTCTGCGAATTTATTGAACATTGTGTACATGAAGGCTCGAGAGATCAGCGGATTTGCAGTCCCCAATTCTGTCATATTTACATCTGAAACATGAGAGATATAAAATTTAAAGCCTCAAATTCTGAGACAAATGTGTAAAATATGTATATCTATATTGAACTATCCTCTATTTTTTTTGACCGGGGTGTTCTGCCATAAAAAAAACAAGAGGAAAAAATCTCGAAGGGAAATTCTACAAATGGTAATGAGAAATTTGCCGGAAATCTAAAGAATTGAATTTAAACAGAAATGGCGAGAACGTCTATATGGTTTCTCGGTAGGTGTTGAGCTGATTGTGAGAAGCTTAAGTATGACCCTATAAAGTCATGAATAAATCCTAAAAAACTAAACTTTTGTGTAGTGGATGTGGAAATGAATGAGATAATAACCTAACAAGAAGGTGCCCATTTTTTGGAAGGGCAGGATTTTGTTAAACTCAGTCCTAAACAAAATTGTATGATGAGACCAAGTCTCCTTGGGTTAGTCAAAGTTCACAACTTGTTTCGGCGATACAACGTTTGCATTTTTACTATTAAAAATGTTCATATGTTGGAGCTGTTTTGTTAAAAAAAACAACTTTGATTGATCTTTCATATGCTCTGGGTCCAAATTTTATCGGTTGATGTTATCCGGGGACTGAGACTTTTATTGAAACTACAATCTAGCAGTCAGTCATGATACAGCGTTGCTAAGTTTGAACAAGGTGTCCCAGACCACCCGTGCTAGGCTTATAGCTGACGCCAAAGCAAGGTTGCAGCGGCGGGGAAAATGACGTTTGAAGATCCAGACATTACCAAATTTCCTCTGATAAAATCTATATACCTTTAGAAAAGTAAGAAAAATATTTCCTTGAAACTTTTAGAGAATCATTAGATTAACTTGTGCAGAGAGGTCTCTGAATACTAAAAAAAAATAAAAGTTTGCAAGTTTTTTCGAGGTTTTGTATTTAATCGGAGGAGATTTGGCAACGCTCGAGTGTTCATACGGCCTTTTTTCTGAACACCTCAGCATTGATATCCGAGCATAGGACAATGATATCAGTGACAACGCCTTAATGCATGCAACTATTCGTGCTTTATGGACATCCGTGTTGCGTACTAAATATTGAAGGCGCCCTGCGACCCCAGTCTCTCTAGCCTATTAAGCAATGCTCGCAGCCACACGCTGTAATGACTCGAAGTGGCGGTGGGGTATAATATTCTAACATGTGAAATAATGCAAAAATATCCTTTCCTGTCCTCTTGCAGTCTTGCCTTGGTTTTCATCAGACAATTTCATCTTGCCGCTTATTCGTACCGGCGTGCACTGCACACTTCTTAAAGAGATGGAGCGACTAGAGCGCCTTCCATTTTTTCGTATGCAACACGCGTGTCCGTAGAGTACGAATAGTTGTATCAATGCGGTATTTTCAATATCCTTGAATACGTGGCTAATGTTGGGTGAGATGTTAGCATAAGAAGCCTCGATTCGTCTTATTCTATCTAATTGTAAGTGTTGATAAAAAAAAATGCATTAAAAATGATAATATTTTGAAGTTGTCTGGTTAAAAATAACTTTCATATTAGTCTTGTGACTGATGGAGAACAACCTGATAAATATAAAATAAATATAAATAGCTTACTATTGTTGTTAAATTGCTTGTGAAACTCCGTGGAGTCCATGATAATTTCCTTGTAGAGTGCGTTCTTTTTCGGGAAGTGCGAAACAACTGTGACTTGGTGGCCTCTTCGGGCAAGTTCCTCGGCGAGGGGGCTAAGAGAACCAAAATGACTTTTCGCCGGAAATGGGAATAGGAAGAGAGCCTTGAATCCAACGGATCCTTGGACAATCGCAAGGAATGACAAGATGACCCAGCTCCATGTTGGTCGCATTTTCACTTAGAAAATGAGGGTAGATTATGGGAAAGTGAAGTGTGCCGAGCACACATGCAGGGCGCGCTCAGGAATGCGTCTCTGCGAACTAAAAACAAAGTCAAGTATTAATTTTATTACAATTTATGCCCTTGCTTTTCTATGTAGGAGAACTTTTATTTCAATAAGAAATACTCAAAATTTACGACAAATTTCTAGAACCGGAATAAACTTATTAGTAACAAAAATTTCTTTTAATGTAGCAAGGATGATTTTATGTGCTCTTCTCTTTGTTCCCAATCATCTAAGTGTCTTCATTTTCACGTGAGCCCTGTCATTCAAATAACGCCATGCTTTTAGGGGCTCATGAGATACGCTCTACTTACATATTTTCAAGTGAGTGGGAATTTCAGGTGTCATGACATAAAATTGTATTTTACTAATCGTCACTAATTTTATCATGATCCATTCATATTCTATATACCATGTACAATCATCTGTGATTGATGTGAAACGGATTTTTTTTTAACTTTTATCTATCATAGGTACATATTTTGAAAGTATCAATATGTATACATACTTTCGATGCAATTTTTGAAAAAAGGGCAAAAAGTCGGATTTAGTGCTGAAAATAACGAGTAGAGTACAATTGAAAAAATTCTACTGGTGTCTGTTGAATATTTACTGACGCTAATAAGCAGTATAGGGATCGGTATAATCTCTCTGTATATTTTTGGCCAGTTATTAAGAGTCGGAATTTAGCAGTTATCAGAACAAACATTAAATCTGTGATATTTGATATCATAGAAACTATACACTGCGACGGAGAAATTCAAGATTTAACGGGTTTTTTTTCCAAATTCTATGACTTTTAAAGACAGCTCAGAAACAGCATTTTCTACAAATTTAAAAAAATGTATTTTTATTGACAGAATATCTAAGCAATGAGAGCTGAATTTCTAGCGATGTGTTTGTATATTGCCCCCAAAACGAATAGTTCTTATTGGTATAATTTTTAGCGAGGAGTATATTGGGCAGCACTAGCCTGTGATTATGTTTTTAAAGTTTTATAAATATGATTATTACTTTCTCGCTCCCATAGTTTCATCATTCCGTCGTCTCTCTAACGTGAGGGAGTGTCTTTATTTTCACGTGAGCCCTGTAATTCATATAACTCCATGCTTTTAGGGGCTCATGAGATACGCTCTACTTACATTAGACGAGTGACAATATGCGGTGCTGAACAGCGATGTATGTACACGCGTATTTCGAATCCCCTTCTCGAAAAGTAATGATAATCCACGTATGAAAAATCACGTGACTGCGCGGACAGTCCTTTCCCGTCCAAGATGACTCATAAATTAAGGAAAAACTCCGACTAATTTAAAATTCATATCGTGATCTGCGGTCCGAATTTTGCCGATCTCATACACGGATATTTAAATATATTTGAGAGGAGTCCTCCATATTTGAAACATGTTTCTCATAATTTGGCGTAATTATGCTACACAGAACCAGAGACGGGTACGAGAGAAGGAGAGGGAGGTCGTTACTTGAGGTCCAAAAGAATGAATTAATTTTAATTATCAAAGCACCAGTGACGTCAGCGGTGACGATCAGGCTCGACCGGTGTGTGCTTTAACTCATGAGCCCTGTCCACAACGCTCTCGTCACATGCCCACGGCTCATGAGTTCGCACATTTTGCCGTTTAGTTCCTTCTGATTTCATGTCAAATCCCACTTTTTCATTTTGCCGAAAGGAATTAAGCCCCATTTTACAGTGTTTCTTATGCAGCTTGCACGAGCAAACTCCATCTATCTCACACGTCTCTAATTCCTTCAGCATAAATACGTCCAAATCTGCCTTGCTAAGGAAGAACGCCTTATGAACATTCGAAAGTTGCCGAATTTACTTCGATAAAATGTTTATTTTTGAGGCAAGTTATGAATACATTTTCTTGAAATTTTCAGGAGCTCAAGGTGAAATTGCAAACAAAATCAGAAGAAAAATATTCAGAATTTTACCAAGAAATCCGTGTTTTATCAAAGGAAATTTGGCAACGCCCGTAAGTTTATACGGCGTTTTTCCTCGGCACGGCAGAATATTGTGAGCTGTCCAGGACTGTCAAAATTAAATTCGAAAAATAATTATTTCCTCATGGTGATTTTCGGAGGCTTTGATCAAGAAGTAGTAAGGTCAAGGATCGTCTACGAATATCGTTACATAATCATCGTGACATACTAACTGGATATACTTAACACGACCACTCGATTATCTTCATTCTGCGCTCATAACTTTAAGGTAGTGATGTATCTCATTCCGTTTTCCTCAATCGAAATTTATCAGTGCGATTCGTTTGCGAGCATAAACATGCGTTCGGTAATTCTTGGTTGTTCAGCTGAGGCTGATGAGGTTGTGAAATTCTTACGTAATGGAAATACGTCATATTAGTGCCATCATAATGAAACTCTCTTATAATTATTAGTCTCCCGGGCTGACAGCCTTAGACTTTAATAATATTGATTGGTACACGACAAATGCGGTGCCAATCAAAACAAGAAACTTTCCAGGATGGGAGCGGAGCCAATAATTTTTATAAAATAGGCACAATGTTCCACTTCGTTTTTCCTTCCAACTATGGGCTCATGAATTGAATTTTTACAGTGAATTGTATTTATTTGTAAAAAATAAATTAAAGTATGTGTACAGCATCTACCATACTTAACACTCGAGGTTATCGGACTGATAAAGCTATAAATTATTCCGTAGAAATGACGCCTAATTTGTTTAGTGATCTCAAGGTGTATGCATTGCCGGTAAATTCTTGCACTTTTATCTACACGCAGAATTGAAGATAAAAAAATATTCTTCCTTAAAAGTGTGCTGACCGCTTCGATGAGTTTGATAGCTTTATAGTGCATTTTTTCGTACTCAAAATTGAGTTAGCATTGAATCAAGCTGACATAGTAATATTTTCTAATAGAAAATTAAGAGGCTACTGAATTAACACAAGCAGTGCTTAGTTGGGTGATTTCAAGATAACAGGAATAGCTAAAATGTGCAACACCTTAAAAATAAAAGTGCACCAATATTAAACAAATTTCATGTGTATAGTTGAAATGGGTTTAAGTAGGGGAAAATTCTGATTGTTAAGCACTATCTGGCAACTATGGTTACGCAACACCGCCCTGAAACGCCACTACTAATCCTGGCATTACAGGTGCTAGGTGACTGTATTTACTTACTAGTGACTTACTATGAGGCCATTGACTTACCAAGTGAACAAGAATTAGGGGAATCTTTGTTTGACATCAAATTGTAAATATCCTCTTTTCTTTAAGTGATAATTTTTTAGAATGCAAACTCGGAAACTGACAGAAAAAACTCATAAATTTTTTTTAAAATCAGAGGAAACAAAGAGACTTGCGACGCTTATAACTGCTACAAATGAGTAGCAGAACCTTTAAAATCAGACCACCATCGTTCCTTCCTAAAAAAAAAAAGTGTCAGGTTTGGTTTTATTGATCTAACATTTCGCTGAATGCATCACTAATTAGTTAAAATATTAATTCATAACACTAATTACTAGAGACATTTTAAAATATGCTGAGATTTTCAGACGGATTCTCTTTCAGTTTTGGAAACCGATAGTTTTTTTAAAATATAACTATAGCTTGCAAAATTCCACCCAAAAAAATATAGATTTATATTTGGAATGTGCGGCTGTATACATTAATACTCCATTGAAAGCTGATTTCAGAGAAAATCACAATTGTACACATGATTTAAAAAATTCTAGCATTAGAGCTGCTGAAGTAAAAAAGGTAACTTAACTTCACTTTACTTACTTAACGCACTTGACTTGTCTCGCGGGAAAACTAATTGAGAGTGTCAGGAGGGTAGGTAATTTAAATATTAAGCCAAAAAGCTCGGTTAATGTAAGTGAACATAGACTCTCTTTCGATTGTTACTGACAAATTTTATCACCAGAAAACTGTATATATACACTAAAACACTCACTATTTAAGAAGATGTAAATATGTTTTACTCTGAATCCATGCGCAGTGCGATTTGCAATTCCAATTTTATTTTATCACCGAACGCACATTAAATTGTTTTATGTATAATGTATTATAACGTCATTAATATATTTCTTACTGCCGTCAAGTAATTTAATCGTAATCATTGATCTTAAAACGCATTCCCATAAAAACAAAGTTCATAAAACGCACGTTATGACTCAGTAAACGCCGAAGTTTGGCTGTAACACAATTACCGCGTGGACCCGTGAACAAAGCTTGATCTGTTCTGAAGAGAAGACCGATTATGATAAGTGAGCTGCCGCGTTTTACACTCTCATTCATCAGGATGAAATGGCGATCCCTCAAGGTCGAAGTAGCCACCTCGTGCTGTAAATGATTTCATTTTAATGGCAGGGAATTATAAGATGGGTCAAGCCAGCCTCTGTGGTTACCGTCCAACGCTGGTGAGTCTGGAAATCAGGACCTAGACCTCTACCCACCGCCCTTGGGAGGGAATCTGGGCTCTGCTCTAGGTGCACAGGCTCGCATGGTTTGCAAGTTTTTAAGACCCATCAACTTCATTGACGAAGCGTGAATGATCTATTATCGATTCCCCCCCCCCCCTTTGAAGACCAAGATTGAGTATGAACATCAGTGACGAAGCGTGAATGATCGATTATCGATATTTCCCCATTTGAAGCTATGGCAAAGAATCGATTAAGGTGTACGTTGAAGACATCCTGTTTATCGATCATTTTCCATAGGTTTTAATGGCACAGCGATCGATATATCGCAAAGCACGCCATACCACTGATCAGCCTCTCAGAATTGGACTGCATTTTGAAAGGAACTATAAATTCTGGCTTTTCCCGAAAAACACTTAAGTGCATAGGAAAACAAACAGCACATACGTTGTTTTTAAACTGGGCTAGAATTTATAGTTCTAAATTGCAAAACGTAGTCCAATTACTCTTTACAATGCTGGTTTATGATGAAACGGAGAGTTTTGATACATATCTTTTACCACATCTCGTAGTTTCCAGACAAAAGAATGCAATTTCATTTGTATGTTGTCAAATCCACACTTGCAAGGAAGTTCTTTTGAATAACCACGTATAGCCTTTACCTATTCAGCCACTCTGTTTGCCCATCTGTGTCCAGGGTTTGCAGCGACTCAAATGTATACGCATAATACATCTCAGAAAGGCCCTACTTTTAATGAGCTTTAAGAGTTCTTACGCTGCCAAATTTAAGGGATTTTACGCAAAAATATCTGCACCAATTGAAAAGTTTCATAACTAATATCCGAGCCAAATTTTTTTTGGCATTACAGTAGATCAAATGGATTGAATCGTCAAGATATGAACCAATCGCATTACGATTTTAATTTTCTTGGATCAAAAATTTAAAAATATCCATAGACGCGGAAATATACGCTGAAGGAAAGACTCAAAATTCCAAGCTCCTGATTCTCAGCCGTGGAAGTATGGATTTTCCGCTCTTTTAAAGCCAGCAGAGGGGACTTCTTTATTTTTCGAGCGTTTATAACTTTCTTGCATCCACATTTTAGAATTTTTCATGGGCACGAAAATATCCCGGAGAAAAGACTCATAATTCCGAGCTCCTGAGTCTTGGCCGGGGAAACTGGCATGGGAGCATGGGTTGTTCGTTCTTTTTGGATCAGTTGCATCACTCCATTACTTATCGCGCGTTTTAGCTTTCTCAAATCGAAATTTTAAAAGCACCATTTCTAGGATTCTGCGACTTCCTCCTTACTCTAAAAAAATTCAATGTGCTTGAAAAATAAATGTAGGCTGCTCTCAATCGATGATAATGATTAGACCCTCTAACTAATACAAAATACCTACAAAGGGAAAGCTTTGGTAGCTCCTGTATATTTTCAAGTAGATTCTTATGTACCTTAAATTTAGTTAAAATTATAGGGTTTTCAGGTATATCTCTTATTTTTTTGTGGTGAAATATTAAGTGCCTTGCAAGAATCAGTTGTCAGAGCTATTGTGTTAAATTTAATTCACAATGTGTGAAATGCGTCTTTTTTATGACACTGCGTTAAATGCCTGATTGACCCCTACTTAATTAGAGTGCCAATAATACGGTGTCTCCATAGGGTAAGAGAGCAAATGAAACTATGAATACGCCACCAAGAGTGGGCCTTTTGTTGTTTTTTAAAAGAGTTAAGATATTCTGCCGTGCTAAGGAAAAACGCCGAATGAACATTCGAGAGTTGCCAAATTTCCTCGAATAAAACATGTAATTTTGAGAAAATTTACACATATTTTTCCTTGCAATTTTCAGATATTTTAGATTGAATTGTGAAAAAATTACCAAAAAATTTGAGGGAAAATATTCACAATTTTTTCAGTAAATTCCGTTTTTCCTGAAAGGAATATTGCAACGTCTAAAGGTTCATACGGCGTTGTTCCTTAGCACTGCAGTATTATGCGTAGTGCAGTCCATTTGCACCTACAATGAGATAAAGCTAATTTGTATTGCCAGTTGACGTCACATTAAAACAGCTCATAATTAAAAGCGGTCTCGTCCAACACAATTGTGGGCGGTCAGAACACTGGGCCATGAATTAGGCCAACGATTTCCAGGTACGGGGGAACTCGGAAGGCAATAAAGACCGGAACTTATTTTCGATACCCCTTATCTTTAAGTCGTTGCCCCCGTTTAAGAAAATAGCGGGGCTTGGAGACCCCCCCTCCGCCCCCTCGCCCCCGAGAAAGAGAAGACAGAACGGTCATCTTGCACAACAATTGCAGAACGAGACAGCCCTCACGCGCCGCGACTTTTGATAACACTGTAATTTATTTATTTTTGCACGGTCGTTTAAGCCCAGTGCGTAAAATTGCGGTGAATGAATAAAAACAGTGCCATCCATTCTAAAATAGAGCTCTAATTGATTTTATTTTATGAGCCTTACAATCAGCTGTCGTGCTGTCAAGAGCCTAGATAGCGTTTCTTCCTTAGCTTTCCTTTGCTTACGAAAGAAAGTATTTCTATAGTGTAGAGGGTGTTGGCCGCGTAATATCGTCTGTTTAATATTCGAGAATGTTGGTGCACTTTTTGCCTCTCTCCGTTGTTTTCCTCGGTGAGTGATGGATTTCTTTCCTTAGATGCCCGGTATCATTACCCAAGTAGCACAGATTGCAATAAGTAGCGATTACATAATAAAAATTGCAATTCCACACTGAGTGCTGCTTATGTTGCCTAGCTCCTATTTGAAGGGGCCCCATTTATTGAGACTTTTTGCGATAAAATTGAGATAAGTTGCAATTTTTCGTTGCATTGCATATTGTATATCTTTCTGACAAATGTTGCTCATTTCGTTCATTGTTTAAAATCGGCGTAAATTGACTAAATGATGTAAAAATATTGCAATTCGATGGTAAAAAAATTACTGTTTTGATGAAATCAAATTGCAATTCAATTTCAATATTTTCGTTGCACTGTGCTACTTGGTAGGGGACATCTGTATCTCTGGTCGTTGCTCTGTCGTGATTTTTTTGAAAATCCTCGAACCTTCTATAGCCACATACCTAATAACCCAAGCAGCAAAGTGCAATGAGAATATGAAATAAAATTCGGATTCAGTGCAATAAAATTGATTTTTTTTTCACCATGAAATTGCAATACTCTTACATCATTTGGTCACTGAATGCCGATTTCAGCCAATCAACGAAGTGAATTCTATGTTCCAAAAATATAGGCAACATGCAATGCAATGAAAAAGTGCAACTTATTTCAACTTTATTCGAATGTATTTCAAAAAGCTGAGTGCCTCCAATCAGTAGATTGGCAACCAGGCAACATACACAACACTCGTATGCAGTAGCAATAAATTTACTACGCAACTGCAATTTATTGCAACGCATGTTCTCGGGACATACGTTGTCCCGACTTACGTTGTCATAACAGTGACAGCTTCAAATCGCATGGACATTTCTGCTTGGGCAGTTTCAGCAGTTGCAGCATCTGCATCAGCAGTTTGTCTGACTGTAGTTAGGAAAAAAGAGCCACAATATATATATATCTGAAAAATCGAACGATTTTCATCCTTAAAATAAGTCGTAATTAATCGTACTGAAATCCTCACGATACAATTTTAAAAATGAGGGTAACACACTGATTCCCTTTCCTTTGTTCGATTTTCAGTGACGGCTAAATAAATGAGTAGATTAATAATAGTAGTAGTATATTAATACAGTAGATTAATAGATAAATGAGTAGATTAAATAGATGGATAAATGTGCATGGATAAACATGCGAATATACATGACGCTCTTTTCTAAAAACTCGTAATTTTTTCAAAGGTCGCTAGAATGTCATTGTGGAAGCAATTGTTTGACGATGCAAAAGTAAATCACGCAATCATTGTTTCCCTTTGATCTAAAAAGATTGTCTTAATTCATCTGACTTCAAAGTAAATTTATTTTTATAATGTAATTTAAATTTCAGATGTCATCCAGCTCTTATCAATCAACAATGAGGGCGCAACAAGGGCTGTAAGTAAAACAAAAGTTTTTGAACTTCTCTTTGAATCTTAATGAACATCGTTGATACCAAAAATTAACACATGTAGTTTTTTGAGGTATTGACAGGTGAAAACAAGAACATCATTACATTCATACATTGTCAGAACATTTTTTAAGTGAAATTGCATGTCTCTAAATGAAAGGGCTCTCTATTAATGAATTTTACTAAGAGGTTCGGCAATACCCAAACCTCCCAGCTGCAAGTTTATTTTGAGTTCGGTACCTCCTTCGGTGACTTATGAATCGCAACGTTGGTGTGTGGTTTTGGTACCGCCTCGCGAGGTGGTCCGAAAAAAGTTTGGTGCACTAAGGTTCAGTTACACGATCAAATTGAGCCATCAAACTGAAGCTCTGGTTGGTGGAAAAAGACCTGAGGTGAGGATGCGACCAATGAGAGGCCCAATTTGATGGCTAAATTTGATCGTGTAACTGGACCTCAATGCGCATCCTTGCTGAATTTCAAGATCGGAATTCGGAAGTAAAACTATAGCAGGCGCTTACGACTATCATTGAACTTCTGGAGGCGTACTACGCCCGCTAAATTGCTGAAAATGCATGAAAATTAGTTGGACAAAAAAACAAAATAAACTAAAATAGTAATCATAAGAAATATGCATTCATGACGAAGATTATTCACCGTCATTACGGTTGATTGAATAAAAATAGAGATTCTTGAGCGAGTGAAAGCAGCTGCTTGAGGTGCAATACAATTTTCAACCTAAGTGCGCTGCGCTTTCAATCATCAATCTGATGGGTCACGAATTAGAGGATCCGCTCAAAATCCCTTCAATTCGTTAAGTATGCAATTTGATCTCCCAAGAGTTAGTTTAGTTGCTACTGCTCAAAGTGAACAGCCGGTATCGGTGGAAGGGGGAAGGAAATAAATATAGAAAAAAGAATGAGATGGAAGAGAGGAAAAAGAATAGGAAGAATAATGAGAAAGAGAAAAGAAGAAAAGAAAATCTATTTGTTCCTATGTAAATCGTAAGCAACAATTTAAAATCTCATTTTTAAAGCTCATTTTTCCCCAAATTGTCGAGAAATTGTTCGTGCCTTTGCTGTTCATCTATTCATCTTATTGGCTCTTTCATCAGTGAGTGACTTATCAAGCATTTTAAAAAGGAACCCAAAAAATTGAAATAACGGAAACCCTACATTTTTGGGTACTACACATCACCCCATGTAGCAGCCAATGGGTCTGTTGCAAACTTTCAGCTACACAAAAAAAAAAAAGAATTAGCTCTCACAGAAAATGGCTCAAAAATCACGATGAGCGCATTGGGAGAGTCTGAGATGCACTCCTATCTTCACAACCTGCGTATAGTATATGCGTTTTCTTATAAGCTTCCCGCTTCAAAAACGATACTACGGCACAAGTGAACTTTTCGTAAGAGGAGTCGATCCATCCAACCTTTGCGCACTAGGATGCTACACAATATTCAACATGGCCGACGCTTCCGCGGGAAAATCGTGAGGAAGTACCATGGTCTTTGTCCACGGAAGGAAAGTGTAAATTTAAACACGCCGGTTGATAAAATCCCGTCTCGTCACTTATATTTTGGCGGGTTCACTTTGACCATGTTGAATATTGCATGTAGCCTGTAGCATCTTAGTGCGCTAGGGGTGGATGCAATGACTCCTCTAAAGCCCTGTCCACACGAGCGTGGTTCGAGGAACTTGTTCGACGAACTGCTCAGTTCTCGGAACTTGACCTAGAAAGGAGGGATGCTGTCCACACGAGTTCGCCCGAACCGAAACCGGAACTTCAATAAAACTATACAATTATTGCAAAATAATAGATTATTACGGCCGCCAAAGTAACAAAAATAAATGTCAAGACATGTAAAGGACGTAAAAAACAAAAACAAACAAATTCACATCAAAAGAAACATATGTAGGAGCTCGGAGTACGGGAGAAGTTCCGGGTTTAGGAGGAATAAGTTTCCAACTCAGCTAAAACTTGTTCCGGGAACAAGTTCCTCGAACTAAGTTCCGCGAACCGCGCTCGTGTGCACAAGGCCTAATGAACTTTTAATGTATCCCGTTGCATCGTTTTTGAAGCGGAAGTTTAGAGATCCATATTTTTTTTGCAAATTGTGAAATTAGGAGCGTATCTCAGACTTTCCCGATGCGCTCATCGTGATTTTTGATTTTAGAGCCATTTCTTACAAGAAAATATACTTCTTTTTGCTTTAGCTGAAGTTCACGACAGGCCTGTTTGCCAGGACCGCGATTATTCTACCATTTTATGTTTGATTCATCTACTTTTATACCTGTTCTCTCGATCCCAAAGGCGGCGCGTGCAACCTTGGACGAGCAGCAACAAGCAAACGAGCTCGCGGATTCGCTCAAGAAATGGCTCCCGGCGGGGGTCGGGTTACTCAAAGAGGGCGTAAGCGGAGATCAGATGGCGAAAAATGATAAACTCCTGCCACTCCACTCCATTCTTGGCGACTCGAAAGCCGAATCCCGGAAGAGGAGGAAAATCACGGAGGAAGTCATGGAGCTTGAAAAAGAAATTAGTAATGCCCTCGGAGAACAGGTCAGTGTGTGTGTGAAAAATGTTATTTTTCCATCATCTTGGAAAAAAAAAACACATTGGATCTAGAGTCCAGACTCTTGAAAACATTGACAAGAAAAAATTCTCTTGATTCAATCGGATTTTTGCTTGAATCAAAACGAAATCCGCTTAAATTAAGAGGCTTGGCTCTTGATTTAAGCTAGATTCTGATTGAATCAAGAGTCCTTTTTCTTGTTGATGTTTTTAAGAGTCTGGACTCTAGATCCAATGTGTTTTTTTTTCCAGTGTTCAATATCATGAACCAGAAATTTTGCACGGAAATTTTTTTAAGAAAAATAATTATAAGTCTTGACAGTTTGAACATGCAGGGTATTCAACGACTCCAAAAAATTAGATGAAACGACAAATCAGCTATAAAGCCCTCATCACAAAATAGCAGAAATATACGTTCATCCAGTTACGATTTTGCAAGTTGGCAACACTGTTTTCCCTCCATTCAAATACATGTAAAAGTATCGATTTTAGGTGAGGCAAGCTGCCTCGCCAAGATTCGATTTTTTACACATATTTGAATGGAGGAAAAACAGTGCTGCCAGCTTTCAAGAATCGCCACTGCTTTGATCAGAAAAAGTCCAGTAGATTCAGATTCAACGTAAGTTTCCTCGAGAAAATGGTAAGTAACCTGTTTTACCTGACATTCGTGGAATCGCGCAATTATTTAAACTTCGTTTTGATATCTTGAGCTACATTCTAGCTCATCCGTGGAGAACACGTATTGGCATAGGTATACAAATTTACATTCGTTGTTCTAAACTGAGCCAGAGATAGGAGTTCCAAATTGCAGAATGTAGTACATTTTATGTGCTCTTCAGGCACATTGTGCCCAGTTGCGTCATATTTGGACTTTTTGAAATGGGGAGCTACCATTTCTGGCTCATCTATGATATTATATACCTTCTTAGCACATGTAATGACACGTACATTGTTTCTAAAATTGGCGGGAGATAGTGGTTCCATATAATTGCAAAATGTGGTCCAATTATGGTTCACTGGAGAAAAAAAACACATTGAATCTAGAGTCCAGACTCTTGAAAACATTGACAAGAAAAAATACTCTTGATTCAATCAGATTTTTGATTAAATCAAAAGGAAATCCGCTCAAATTAAGAGCCTGAAATTGGTTCTTAATTTAAGCAAAAATCCGATTGAATCAAGAGTATTTTTTCTTGTCGTTGTTTTTAAGAGTCTGGAAATCTTGGAATCTTTTAAGATCCAATGTGTTTTTTTCCAGTGTTCATATAAGAAAATGGGCAAGAACTATAACAAGTGTTTTAGTGTTGCGCTTTTCTGATCTGACAGGTAGTGGAGAACTATCCCGAACCAACTGGTGGCTACCCGGTGCCTGACACGCCTGAGTATGTACCAAATGTGTCAGAAGTTGAAGGTTTCATCGACGCGGCACAGACAGGCAAACGACCGCACAAAAGGCCATAAAACAAGCGCACTAGCGGCCGACACAATTTTATTATAATGTCACGATCGAGAGCAGTATTTTTCTGACCAAGGCACTCTTTAAAAACATTGAAATTCAGCCACTAATATAAATTTTTAATATACTGACGAAACTCAACTGTTTGGAGAAATTTCTTCAGCTGGTGCGATTCGAAAAATCTTGGACTTTGCGCTCTTTGAACTTTAAGGATATTATGACAAAGGTTAAATATGAGAGCTTTTACAAAAAGTCAATAAGCTGCAAAAGTTGAAGAAGCGACGCTCATCCTGGTAGCTGAGAGAATAACTCTAGGCTGGAATTAAGATATTGTGAAAAAAAGAGTGCATCAACACATATTGAAAATGTGTCAAAATTCGTCGCTTGGCTGACACAAGAGCGCAGCTACACACGGAGATGAGCCCGGAAAAAGCATTGAATTCTATGGAAGACAGGGTTCATTGCAGAGTGACGTTACGCCCTTATGTCAGGTAGGCGACGAATTGCATTAATTTCGTTGCGGGGCCTTCACAATTCAAAAGAATGTGATTTGCGAGGAAGTCAATAGATGTATGACGTGATTTTTCATCGCTAGAAACCTGCCTCAAAAATTAGATATAAAGCTCATGTTTGATTTTCGCATGGAGGTTTTTTTGTTTCGCATGAGCCAATAGGGCTGTTAAAAACAGAGCTCCTGAATGCTCTGAAAGTAAACTTTCATTAGTTCTGCCTCACGCATTTCGACATCAGTACGGAAGTTTTCCAAAAAGATGAAATTTGCTGAAATGAATGAGGTAGGACCATTAAAACTTTACTTTCAAGAAGATTAAATATCTTTGAGTATAGTGCAATGCCTTTGCAAACACCCCAACGTTTATAAATTAAATATGATGTTGCCTGAATCTCTCAATTAAAAATCAAAATAATAATAATAATAAAAAAATGAATGTAGACCATATTGTAAGAGTATTAAGGATTAGTATTCACATTTTCAATTACAAAAATGCATTAGTTTCACCTAAGATATTTAAAGTCCGATCATAATCATCAGCTGTGTTTGGATACTCTTCAGATTAAAAATAAAAACTCTAATACTTATGCGCAATGTCCTTTGTTCTTTATCAATTTTCTAGATTTCATCCTAGCCTATAGCCTAAATGGCATGCAAATTGGGCCAGTAGAGTACCCTAGAACTAAGCGTTACCAGGAATGCAAATTTAGGAGGCTTCGGAGAGTATAGTATAAAAATATGCGCTTATTTTTGAGTCACCCAATATGATAAAAAATGGATGAGTGGAAAGAGTGGTAAAAAAGTGTTTTTCAAACGTCATCATAGCACTTTATTTTTTTCAATAAAACTGCAATCTCACTTTCGTTTTAAGTACTTCGGATGCCATAGGGTAAACACGAGCAAAAAGTTTGATCTTGCGTTCGATACGTGAGAGTAAAACATGATAAATGTTTCCCTATTTCCTCGACGAGGTGAAACTAGGTAAAAATATTTTTGCATCCAGAATTGGGAAAGCACAGCAACTACGCAATTCTGCAAAAATTGTCCAATTCCAGTTTTAATCGTTTTACCCGTAAAATGTGTGATAAAATATCTCACATTTCACTTTATTCACAATTCACATATTATCTTAGAACAGGAAAATTTTCGCAAAATAACCATAAAAGCTCCAAGGAAAATCGACTTTTCTGGGAGGAGGGGTGATGGGAAAAATCTAAGGTCTTATTCGGGTTTAGCGAGTCAAAATATGTAAGAGTCAATGTATCACACATCGAGAAAATTTCTAGAATGCATCTTTAATACACTTTGATACCGAAAATGCCTTTGTACACATTTAGGCTCTGAAAAGTCGGCTATATCGGATTACTGGTCGCTGATAAAAAAAAAACCGAGGTCATAATCAGATTTTGCAGCTGTAAATATACATAAAAAACACACTACCACGGGTCCAGGATTATTTATCAAAGTGACTTGCACGCATGACAAACATCCGTCAAAGCTCATTTTCCCGGGAAAAAGTCGCTTTTCCAGAAAAAATGATTGGTAATGGGAAAACACAAAGACCATCCTCGGACTCAGTGGCTCAAAATACATCGGAATATCATTTTATTTGTGCCTGAGATAAAATTTACCTATATGCCACACGGGGTAACAGTTGCAAACACACTGAAAATGCCCATTTGCCGGGTAAAATCGGATATTCCGGAAAATTGAGGAGTGATGGACAAAAACGGAGGTCATATTTGGATTCAGCTCCTTAAAACTACAGTTGAAGCATCTTATTTTGTCCTGTCGACATTTTTGACATTTTTTTAATACACGTTCTTGATCGTCAGAATAGGAAGAAAAAAAATCTTCGGTCTTAAGAGCGCCAGAAATTACAAGTTTGAGTCAAGTTCCTCGGTCAGGATGTTAAAATTTTGCTAAAGTAAAATGTAAAATGAAATCAGCGACCCAAAGTTCGTAAGATTCATCAACTTTTAAAACTATATACAATGTATTTAATTCCGGACAAAGCTCCGTTAAACCCATAGTCTGTGGACTATAGTGCGGCGCTCCAACGAACCAGAACAGAACTGAAGTTACCTATATACTATGTATGCATAATGCTCTCATGCAAGCCTTCTAAATTTTCATTCCTGGTACCTTGATAGTTCTAGCGCTCTACCATGCCGATTTTAATTACTTTTGCGGCTATCGACAGACTTTTAGATGAGCACGTTGTAATCAAATTTTGGAAATATGGTCCATATATTTGTATATTGCGTGCTAAAGTTGCGAATTCTCATTTAAACAAGGTTTCACTTTTTGTCATAGTTCGTTTGGGAGTTCCTTTCGTCCGATTTCCATGATTTTCTAGCTATTGACAGGCGATAGTCCCTACAAGTTCAGTTACACGATCTAATTGAGCCATCAAACTAAGCTCTGATTGGTGGAAAAAGACCTGAGGTGAGTATGCGACCAATGAGAGGCCCAATTTGATAGTGTAACTGGGCCTTATAAGATGAGCTCGCTCCATTCAAATTTTGGGAATATTATGATCCAGGGTTTTTATATCAGGGTTTGCTGGCGAACTAAGCAAGTTACGGGGTAAGAAGCAAAATTTGACCACCAAAGAAAATGGCGAGAATTTTAACTTTGACGGAAAATTGACCAAAGTAGAGTTGTTGAATATTGGTATGTGTTGGTTTGTTCCTACAATTCCCTAATGCGACGGGGGAAATCCCTAACCTGTTGCCGATACTTTATCCATTTGTTCAAATCCCATCCTACTCATATCCATATTTTATCGGCACGACAAAACGCTCGACCTAGAGCAGCGACCAATCGCAGGACTGCATCAGTGCATCCTCCTTGATCTTTCCGTAGCCGGTCGACAAATCATAAAATTTTAACGATCAGGCTGTAGACGCGGGAACTTTGAAAAGGCGTGTCCACGCTACGCTGCAAGGAGGAAGGATGCGTCAGTGGTCAATGCCAGCTTTACGCAACCCTCTCTATTGGTAAAAAATACACAAAAAATCCCATGAAATTTAGGTTGTGACGAGAATAGTAATCGCACAGGTCCACTCCCCGCCCGCCTATCGAACGACCGCTCCATGTGTTACGTTTTCTTCCAGGCCACCACCAATCTACAGTCTCTATGTCGTTGAAAAATACCGAAAAAGTGTGTTGAAAGTGTGTGAAAAGTGTGTTGGGTAATTTATGAACATTCCCATTGGCACGGAGAAAAATGTATGACTTATAAAACAATTAGTGGTTCATATGGAACACCACTAAAAGTAAGGTAACATAACATAATAGTACATAAACCTTCGTTATGGTATGTGATTCAATGTCTTTGTATATATTCCATACTATGGTACGAGCTACCACAGTATGGTTCACAGACCTATAAACATTAGTTCATGTATGAGTATATTAATGGTGTTCCCATATGAACCACTAATTGGTTTATAAGCCATGGCTTTTTCCTAGTGAGGATCATGGTAGATGACAACAACCTCAGAATGGGTAATAGGACATTTCGTCAACGATTTTTTGTCCGCACACCTGTTTTTTCCAGTAATTTACGTCCCCACGTTTTTCGGCACGGGGGTTTTGGTCTACGTGCCAGTTAAGACCTAAAGTTAATTGGCCTACATGTAAATACAAACGACCATTGGTCACGACGATTTTTGGATGAAAATGTATAATGTCTTGGAAGAATGAAGGTTTGCTTGCTTTTTTGTTTTGTGTGTTTGGTCCAACGGAGAATAATATATAGTTGAGAGTTTTGGTAAAAATGGGGGAGCGTCAATTCCACGAGACAAAATTCACTAAAACTCTCTACACCTCTTTGGTGTAACAGGACTCAATTATTTTTCAAGAAGTTCCCACCTTGTTATACCTGAACCGGATGAATCTCCATATTTGCCTCAGCTGAAGGGTCTTAGATTATTCCTGTGTACGATAAGTATCTTGATTTATTTTGCAAGGAAAGATCTGTACTTTTAAAGGATGCCTATCATTCTTAATACGTTCAATTTCGTATAATACTGTGCAACACTTTTGTTGTGAAATAGTTGCTTCAGGCGCCGCCGCACGACGGGCGGGCGACCAGTGCGGAACGCGCATTGGCGCGCCTACAAACCTAAGTGGATACTTCAAGCACTGTGCAATGCGTGAAGTATCCACTTGGGTTTGTAGGCGCCAGTGAGCCTCTCGCGCTGGCAGCACGCCGTTTTGCTCACTTAAGCTCCCTGTATTCTGCCAATATTTATACTCGCAAAGTCAGCGTTTTTTTAACTCAGGATTTTGAAATATTTGCGCACTCTGCATTGATTATTCTCATTAAATTGATGGGGAAAAAATATGTATCAATTTATCAAAGGAATGTTGTAGGTTCCGTGTCAAATTTAATGCTTTCCAAAGCACTTTAATTTATTCTTTTACATTTTGTGCTTTTATTGTGCTGCAGCGAGGTGTACGCGCAACCAAACGCGCAAAATTTGACGTATTTGACTCTAAAAGAATGATGTACAAATGGGCTAAAACTAAAGATTGCGTGCTTTTTGGTTTTTCTGCCTCTTTTATTCATTTTTGCAGTTTTTGTTAGCACAACTGCGGCTCATTAAAATTAATGTCGCTTGGAAAAGGTTTTACAAATATTTGTCATGTTTTAAAAATATAAATGTTTTCAAAATGAAGTAATAATTTCGTAAAGAAAAAATTTAAAACATAAAAAAAAAGTACCTATACTCATATAAGGTATATTGTACATCGAATATTTTAAGGAAATAGAAATAAAACCAAATATTCACCAATGACAATTTAAAAAGATGATTCAAAAGGAGGAAGTAATAACATTTCATTTAGAAAATGAGCAACCATAACAACACCTCCTTCCCCCTCAATTTCTCATTTCCATATTGTCAATATAAGTTTACATACCGACTAAAATATAACGCTTGGACCACACACCGTTGCTTATTTTACGTGTGGGCGTAAACTGCTGGACAAAAAAGGTGCGCGGACAAAAAATCGTTGACAAAATGCCCTGAATTCTCAGAATGCGATGAATGATAACATATATGTATGATGATTACAAAACGTCTATTCGTGAAAATAAAAAGGTAATTTGAAAAAAAAATGAAATGGCATCCGGCCAATTGCGGGCTACTGGTAGCCAGGTGGTGCTCCAGCGACGAATCTCCGACGTGCGTTCGTCGGTCCAGTATTCGTGAGCGTGGGTGGTGGTGAATTGACGGTTAGGATGATTTCCTCCAAAGGGAGGAAGACTCTCTCTCTCTTCTGCTGCCTCGGGACGTGGAACGGGCTACGCGATCGGGCTCTCGTCTCCTCCTGGAGGTGGAGCTCCCGCTGGCACAACTGAAGAGACGAGCGAGGGTCGATTGGTGTCGAGCCACCCGTGGGCTCGGTGTGGAGTTCCCACTGTGCCGCGACACATTGCAGGAGAACGTGCACCTGAAATCAAAAGGTTTCATAAGTACATGGAGAATAATATAGAGTCCCTCTATACTGAGAGTCAAGACAATGTGAATCCATTTCTGATTGGTTCCTTCGCAGTGTCACAAACGGGAATAAAGATTACATTTTCACCGATTGCAAAGATTATAATCTGGAATGGACCAGGGAATTACGAGTTCGGCAAGGAACAAACGGAATGAGAGAAGGAACGGAGAAAGGAGTTTGAGAATGGGCCGATCGAAGATTACGAAAAACGTTCAATTTCTGTAATCTTTATTCCCGTTTGTGACTCCATGAGGTGCGTTGTCTTGACTCTCAGTATAAAGGGACTCTAGAATAATACTGCCGTGATAGTAAAGAGAGCACACTGGGAAAAAAACACATTGGATCTAGAGTCCTGACTCTTGAATTAAGGTAATTCAATGTGATCTAGGGACGAGATTCGTCACCAAGTTGCGCTGCTACGCGGTTTGTGTCTTCGAGAGGCAATAACTTTCGTCACGTTGAACTTAACGCCGCGCCGCCGCATGGTCGGCTCGGTCGGCGTGGAGTGCATATCAGCGCCTACAAGACCGTGTGGATACTTCACGCATTGCGCCAAACACAGCACGGTCGGCTCGGTCGGCTTGAGACGCATATTAGCGCCGACAAGACTATGGAAATACTTCACGCGTTGCACCGAACACAGCGGAGTCGGCATGAAACGTATATTAGCGCCAACAAGGTTGTATGCGTACTTTTCGCAGTGAGCTCACACCAGGCTGCGTACTTGTCGTTGAATATTGATGGTTTATTGGTACCAGACCTACCGCCCGCGGTGTGCACAATTTCTGACCACACTGGAAAAAGACACATTGGATCTAGAGTCCAGACTCTTGAAAACATTGACAAGAAAAAATACTCTTGGTTCAATCAGATATTTGCTTAAACCAAAAGGAAATCCGCTCAACTTAAGAGGCTTGGTTCTTGATTTAAGCTAAAATTCGATTGAATCAAGAATATTTTTTCTTGACTATTTTTTTAAGAGTCCGGACTCTAGACTAGATCCAATGTGTTTTTTTTCCAGTGCAGTAAGGGACCGTTCAAGTATTACGTAAGACACTTAGGGGGGAGGGGGGAGGAGCGGGGAGGAGCGGGAGGAGGGGGTCCGAGCTTGTCTTACGGAGCCTCAGTATGGGGGAGGGGGGTCAAGCCGAGCCTTAACGTAAGTTACAAAAATTTAATAACTGGTAAACACCCTGAAAATTAAATTTCAATTATTCTCTTATTTTTTCTGCCGATTTTCATCAAAATACCTTTACAAAAGCCTCAAATGTATTCCAGCTATTTTATCAGGCTCTCTCCGTTGTTTTCTGAAAAATGGGGGGGGGGAGTCCCCGCCAATCTTATGAAATTCAAAGGGGGGGTCAAATATTTCTTACGGGTGCCATACAGGAGGGAAGCAGGGGCGGGTCAAAAAGTTGGCAAGGGTGCGCCTTACGTAATACTTGAACGGCCTAAAAATTTTCGAAATCGGGTTTCCTTCAAAAAGTTCGTCTAATCTCGTTTAGATGAAATCACTGAAATTGCTAAGACAGCAACTTCATCGCAATTGTGCGAAAACGAGACGTATTAAAGCCGGAAGCGCGCAAAAATGACGCAGGCAAAACAGCCGCAAGTGACATTATTCCTCCTGAGAGCCTGTGAAAACAGTGCTTTTAAGGTAATTGCTGCCCTTCTCTGCCAATTTTTAGCTTGAAAATGTGTTTGCTGTATGTCCAAAACGCAACCACGAGAGCATGCAGAAGATATCATTTACGGCTGTCTTGCCTATCACTAGCCTAACATGAAAATGAATTATTATTTTTATGTAGTTGAAATAAAATCGGTCAATTTTTAAACACTCAAACGATTTCTAAGAGTTTTTCGAATGATCAGTGACAATTTGACAAAGAAAGGAGGCTTGGCTTCTTTCAATAAGATTGCCCGATCAGAGCAGCTCGTTTCAGTACTCTTAAGAGCAGTGGCGTGGAGTGGATTGCGATATATCGATTGTTATGCCATTTAAACATATGGTTAAGAATCGATTATAAAGGTGTTCGCTGTGAACACCCTGTTTGTCGATCCTTTTCCATAGGTTTAAATGACATAATCGTCGATATATCGCAAAGCACGCCACGCCACTGCTTAAGAGAAGTGTAAGGCGACTGGCTATACAGCATGAGCAAGGTACAAATTTTGTATTAAATTGACCGAAATTTTAGACACTGTAACAGTAGTACCCTGATATATCTGGGTATGAATATAGTGTCCTACTGAACGTTAGTTATAAAGTATACTCTCGTTTCTCTAGATGTCACTCAGAGGCCAAGGCCTTGTCCACACGAACGCGGTTCGCGGAACTCAGTTCGAAGAACTTGTTCCCGGAACAAGTTTTTTGCTGAGCTGAAACTTATTCCTCCAAAAACCTGGAATTTCCCCCGTGCTCCGAGCTTCTAAATATGTTTCTTTTGATGTGAATTTGCTTGTTTTTGTTTTTCACGTCCTTTACATATGATCTTGACATTTATTTTTGTTACTTTGGCGGTCATAATAATCTATTTTTTGCAATAATTGTATAGTTTTATTGAAGTTCCGGTTCCAGTTCGGACGAACCCGTGTGGACAGCATGCCTTGTTTCAAGGAATAAGTTCCGGGAACTGAGCAAGTTCGAGGAATAAGTTCCACGAACTGCGCTCGTGTGGACAAGGCCCAAGACTTGCAAGTAACCAACCAATACGATTCAAGTTCGATCCTGGCGGCTCGTGCCTAATTTTTGACGAGGTCGCACATTTTAACCCAAAGATTTGGTCAATGTAGCCCAAAAGAGAAATAATAATAATCATCCCTGATAAAAATTGGCAGTAGAATCTGTGCTCCAAAATACCATAGACCTACAGCCGGCTGTGAGATTTCCAATAGCTTCTATAGCCGGCTACACAGTTTCTTGTAGCCTTTTATAGCCGATGGCGATTAAGCAACACCCAGGCGATAAAGCGTATGCTAAACGTTACTGACTACGGATGCTAGGAATTAGTGAGTTTTTGGACTACTGCTCTCTTTTTGGACCGTAGTATCTTGATTTATTTTGCGAGGAAAAACCGTACTTTTGATGGATGCCTGCCATTCCTAATATATTAGAGCGCCTTCAATTTCGTATGATACTGTGCAATACCTCTGGTGTGAAATAGTTGCTTCAAGCGCCGCAGCCAGCGCGAAAAGCGCCTTAGCGCCTACAAACCTAACAAGGATACTTCAAACATTGCGCCATGCGTGAAGTATCCTTGTTAGGTTTGTAGGCGCTGGTGCGCTTATCGCTGGCAGCACGCCGTTCCGCTCTGTGTTAGGCTCCAATATAATCTTGCGGAGTCAGCGTTATTCAACTCATGATTTTGAAATGTTTGCGCATCCTGTATGCATTATTCTCATTTTAATTGATGAAAAAAATATGTATTAAATGAAAATATAATGTGTGTTTTGTAAATATTAAGGTGGTTCTTAATCAGACTTAATGATTTCCAAAGCACACGAATTTCTACACAATTTTTTATGGCCTTTTATAACCGATGGCGAAAAAGCAACAGCCAGGCGATAAAGTGTAAAGCCCGGCGATAGGAACTATAGCCCGGCTGCATAATTTTGTATCGCCTCGTATAGCCCGGCTGTATTATTTTCTCCGCATTCTACAGCCAGCTATATGATTTTCTGTAGCCTTATTTAGCCGGCTATAAGAATTCCTATGGTATTTTGAAACGCATCTCTTATCGCCAATTTTTACCAGAAATAAAAAAAATGTATTTTATTTTTATACTCTGTTGAACATATTTGAGAAAAAAGCGGAGTGCAGCTGACCGCGAAAGCCCAGAATACTGGAGTGACCATGAATGAGGAGTGCATTCTGGTCTTTGCGAGCGGAGTCAACTTTTTTCTTATCAACCCAAGAAAACCAAGCAAACAATATTGACCGTGCGTTTAGGTTAGAGTGCCTTTATATACAGAGTATGGCCATTCGTATTTTTTTACTACAGGAAAACTGTGCCACTTTTTGATTGGTCAACGAGTAATCAGGCTTCATGATGCTCTTACGGCCATAAATAAACAAAAAAGGTGGCGATTCTCCGTATTATTGATAAGAAGCTAATATTCGACAAAAATTTCAATTACACGACAGTAACAATTTAAACTAGAATATCTACGAATAACACATGAAAAACACATGAAAACACTGTTAAATCGTCTTTCGTTTTTAACATACGAGGATGAAAGATATGCGTAATCTCAAACTTGCTTGTTGATAACAGCCATCTTGTTTGTTTATTAACGGCCGTAAGAATATCTTTACGATATTCTTACGAAATCTGAATTGAATCAATGCAAAATCCGCTTGAAACAAGAGTCCAGACTCTTGTTTCAAGCAACAATCCGGCGGCAAGAAACTGCACTCTTAAGTCAATGCAATACGGCATTGGTCCAAGAGGTTTTTTTTACCAGTGAAGACCAAACAGGCACAGAAATGACCTTACTTTGTCTATCAAGGTACTCTAATTTGGGTTACTTGTGGTCTACTTCCCATATGTAAGCACAAAATGTCGGTTTCATTGTGTAGATTGCCATCACCCTGCCACAGATTTTCGGGTGAGTCTATCCGCACAGTGTACATACCGCCAATTATGGTGATTTGGAAGAGCCCGGCATTCAGGAGCCTCGGCTTCTGGACAGGATTCTCGCTCCGACACGGTAAGAGCCATGAAATCAACGTAAGCTGCCGTACAAGCTTGGTTGGCTATGCCTCGAGTCAGTTGGTTGGTGCGAACTTGTCGGGCTTTACAGGGATCCTGACTGGCGAAGGCGTGGATAGAAGCCCTTCGTTCCCAAATTGACGGTTGAGGTGGTGGTAGCTGAGGCTGGCCGCCATTGTCCCCGTTACCATCCCCGTTTCCATTCCCGCCCCAGTTGCCCCCCATCTATAATAGCAATAAAAAGACCAATGAAGGGACCGTCCATAAATTACGTCACTCACCCAGGATGGAGAGGGGGGTCTGGAGGTGAGTGACGTAAGGTGCGCTGTTAAACTCTCCGGAGTTACCCGGAGATGTAAACAACCGTTGTTGGACTTCGGAGGAATGGAGATGTTGCATGTGTGAAGAATTTGCAATCATTGAGTACATAGAGTCGTAATGTAAGTGGGAGAGCTGGCGCCACTTTTAAGCATTTTCCATGTCCCGAATTCCGAGACTCCTGTGTGACGCCGGGTCACTTTTTCGATACATAATCGATTGTTTGCGATACACGGGTACCCGGCCATCCGATGACAAAAACAACAACAACAACAACAACAAAGGAGATAGGAATCACCACGTATTCCACACCGCCATTTTGGATCGAAAATGTATCGAAAAAGCGACCCGAACTCGGCGCACACCGGGCTCGGAATTCGTCGAGCAGAACATGGCGCCAGCTCTCCCATTTACATTACGACTCTATGTACTCTATGTTTGCAATTTGACTATTGATTTATATGTAAAAGTTCGCGATAAACACGATGGTGCGACTGGTTTTCTCTGAAATCAACTCCTAAGCTCAAAAAAAGCTCTCAAGTTGAGGCCGAAATGGAGGGGATATCCCACGCCATCCTGAGAGTCCACGTCTACATCAAGACAAACTCTCCATGCAAAGATAGGGAGCAAATACAGTAGCAGGGTTGCCGTGTTTTCAGTTTTAGAGTTCCCAAATAAAGTAGCAGCTCTTTCAATGTACTTTCTCCCCATCTTTACATGGAGAGTATCTCTGACAGGAATTCTGATGGACCCTAGTAATTATAATTTGCGGGACCCATCAAAAACCGCAACTCTTTCACATCTCGTGGGACCAAAGTGAGAGCATTGGAGCCCTTCGTTTTCTTGTAATCCGCCTTCAATTTACAAAGTATACAACCCGCAATGTGCGGGCCTTTGAGCGCTGAGCGGGTCTGCTTTTAAAACTTCTCGTTGTTATGATTCGTTTACCGCGTGTATTTTGATAAGAAAACATGTTGTGTAATGCTTTAATTCATACTATGTCTAGAGTATCACAATTGACCAGTCAAATCGCGATGAAATTGTAATTGAGGTCCCTATTGAAGTCGATATTATATTGTGTCAGTTGTGTAATCCTAGGTGAAAGACTGACATACATAAATTTAGGGGCTTGGAGATCAATGCACATACCTAATTGCAAGGGAAATAAGTGTTTGAAGTTTCGAAATTATATGGATCTTCATGACGGGAAGAAAGTTCAAACTGATTTTTTTACGTTTAAATATTAGCATTTGGGAGCAAATTTTTCAACGAATATGCATTAAAAAAGACTAATTTTACTTGAACTCATTCATATCTCAATTTTTTCAAAATCTGCGCTTATGATCCTTGTCCTCCAAACCCCTAAATGAAGCTGTATTTGGATGTATTGGCGTGAATGTAATAATATAGTAACGAATATATTAGACTCTTCTTAGACCTAACGTATATACTTTTCGTATTTAACGTATACTTTTTCTCTGAAGATGGATGCTTTATGAATGAATTTCAAGCGCAACTTTTTTTCCAGCTTTTTTCGACGAATAGACCGTTCAGAACAGATTTTGATAGATGTTCTCGAAACTTGGGATCCAAATAATCCGATCTAAATAAATAAATTAATTAAAAGCAACTCATTGCTTTATCTTTAGTGAAATTTTACGAAACTTTGCGCTGTGGGCCGAGAAATATGAGGCCCTCCTTACGGCAAGACGAAACTTCAAATCGAAAGTGCCTCCATTTAGCGGTCCATATATAGGAGGGTGGCCCTTATTTTTCACTTTTTCAAAATCTAATGGGTACACATGTGTAAGTGGTACCTTTTGATGCAAAATGAGCAGAAAATAAACTTCTGTGTAATAGGAAAAGAAGAGACGCCGAAACGAGTCGATTTTTCTTCTAGGGCGTGATTTCTGCAGGGCGTCGATAGCACTGACAATTTTTTTTTCCTGTTCATTTTGCACCATAAGGTGCCACTTGCATATGTGTATTCATTGAATATCGAAAAAGTCAAAAATAAAGGCCAACCTTGACTTATGTACGATCGTTGCTTATTTAATGTTCCCAAGGTGAGCACGTACTTTATTTTGTTTCGATGATGATTTTAGGGCTCAATTCTCATAGTTTTCATCAAGTCACATGTCAACTGCTTATACTTTCAGAGGAGGTTTAATGGAATTTTTTTTCTTTTCAGTTGAAAAAAAGTTACTAAAAAGGTTTACTAAAAAATGTGCTATTACTCTTCAATTTTTTTATTTTCGAGGAATTTTGTGAAACGTTGTATGCTTTTAACCATGGTGACTCTGCGTCACTGACAACATGACAAATTTAACCAGAGCTGGCCTAAATTCAAAGGACGTTGCCTAATTTCCTCACATACTTTCCTCTTCTTTCAGGAAATTGAAGCTGATACATTCGGCCTTGAAAGTTTGTGATATTCTCTAGAACCGAGAAAAATCACAGCTCGTGTTTGCACGTTATGTTGTTCAGTTCTCTCTTGAAAAAGTTAGCATGAGAGGTAACTAGGCTAAGAGGAATGCAAGATTGCACGCGGGGAGAAGAATTGTTTTAGGGGTTCAGTGACGAGGCTTGAATGATCTGCTATCGATATTTCTTCATTTGAAGCCATGGTAAAGAATCGATCATGGAGGTGTTGATTTGCGAACACCCTGTTTATCTATCATTTTTCTGTAGGTTTAAATGGCAGATCAATCTATTTATCGCAAAGCACCGGCCCCACGTCACTGTAGGGATTATCCCCTAAAGTTGTATAAGACACTCCCAATTTGCTTAATGGATATGTGATTGATTGTGGTAGTAAATACCGCAACATTTGGGTTAGTAACCTAATTAAAGAAAAAAAAGTCGCATACATACAAGTCACTTTTACAGCGACTTGTATTTTTGTAACGATAATCAGATGCCGCAATCACACGCTGAATTCGGCAGCTGAATGTGGCAGTCAACATTCAGCGCCAAACAACTAAAATTTCACTAATTTGAGTATTTTCATCCAAATGTGTATCAAATCTATTCGAATAGTTCAGACAAATCCGACATTATCCGATGGTCGCTGAGAATCGTTGCTGAATTTTGCGCGTCACGCGCAAAATTCAGGCATCGGGCCGATGACTTCCACATTCAAGCTACATTCAGCTCCCACAGTTAGCGTGTGATTGCGGCATATCACGGAAAAAACAAGTTTAGGGTTGGGACCTGCGGGGAAGGGCCCAGCCCTGCCCCCGGGGTTGCTAAAATTGCTTCACCTGAACATAGCCAAACTCAGCGTGTGTTTGCGGCAAGAGGTCTTGTGCCTGCAATCTGTAGGGACGTGAGGTACCTCTCACTGCCCTACCTCTAGTTAGGTCTCCACCCTAAGCTCATTTTTTCCCCTGTAATTTACTAGGGCACTGCCAAAATTAATTGGAAATGTCCATATCATCCAACTAACCCATGCTTTTTTTATTTCATGCTGTGCGTTTGCAGTAAGTTTGATCAAACCCGTCCAACTACATTATATACTGTATTAAATTCTAAATCCATTCATTGTCAGATGTCTCTGGATGGGCCCGTTTTCTTAAAAGTCTATCTCCACTTTACGCTGCTTAAGCCGAATGGGTTTTTCTGTAAAAATTCCAAAGGAAACCCTCTATCTGCCCGTCGCCGTACCAGCTTTTTTTTAAATTGAAGTTTTCAGTTTTTTTAAGGACCTGATCATAGAATTACATCAACTCAAATTTTTACAACTGAACTGATGCAAAATTCCTTGTTAATATGAGTTCTCTTCTTGAAAATGTCATCTTAGAAAAGTCCTCTTTGTTTGATTTGATTCAGATAATTTACTAGTTTGAGGATTTTTTTTTTTTTTTTGTAGTTCTACCGGGAGAAAAAGTGGCGAATCTTATCAAAGATTTTTTAAGAATCTTGTTCCACCGAATGTGAAAAATCAAAATCGGGGATTTCGACTCCCATCCGTTTCGCGCCACTGCCCCACAAGGGGTAGGTTTCGGCCAGATGGTCGTCTAGATGGTTAAACTATCATATGTTGGTTTAGGCTCTAATTTGAAAGAAAAAGCTCTGATCAGGAGCTGGCTAGGGAGATCGTGGACCGCAGTCGAGCCGACCAACTAAACCAAACTCACGGCTGCATATCTGCCCGGATAATGCCGAAGTCTACCCTGGAGGGAGATTCATCGGCTGAGACACCTTGTGTCCGAGGTGGAGTGGTGGGATCGTTATCAATTTGAGTGGTAGCGTTTGTTAGAAGATAGATTTTGCTTGATTTGCTTTTTTCCAATACTATTTCTGTATAATAGTACGAGTTCTATATAGTACGAGGATGCATTTACATAATTTTTTTTATCATTATTAATGTATATAAATTCCAATTGCTTTAAGATAAAGTTATAATTTTGGTGGCGTTCGATGTACACTCAAAAACACATTGGATTATGCATGTGACATTTTCACTTTTTAATTTACTTATATTGATTTTGTATTCACAAATTCCATTGGAAAAGGTGGATTTTGCAGGTGCTTTATTTCCTTTTCAATGTAACTTAATAGAGAAAGTATGGACACGACGACCCTCCGCTTTCCATGGAGGCCTTAGGATCCACATTTGCGGCGCTATGTTTTAGTTTTTGATGATGGGAAGGGGGTTTATTACCAACTATTGACGGTTATTACCAGCCGCACTGGCTGCTAACCTTACTATCTTTAAGATGATCTTTTTAAACAGTAGCACACCCTTGGCTGTAAAGCTAAGTAAGTACGTCTAAATATTGCAGTTGTGTAAAATTCCCGCTGCGACATGCAAATAAAGCCACATTTTAGGTCATTTTGTACTTACATTTACTTACAGCGTCCGTCATTTTTTGGTCCTAAGAGCCTCATGAAGCTTTAGATGG